AACGTGATTTGGTTTCACTGAACTGGTGAGCGGTGATGGGTTTTAGCCTCTCCATCACTTCAGGGCTTGCTGCATGCCTTGCTCAGGTGCCTAGAGGAGTAAAGCAGCGTTTCCAGCCCCTACGAGGGTCCCGAAGGTCCCCTACCCAGCACGTGGGCGTTCTGCTCTCACGGCAGCGATGTGCTGAGCTGGATGTGTCCAGGACGGGGATCCCTGGGCTCTGCCCAACCCCACAGTCCAGGTGCAGCCCCTGGGACCCAGAGGAGCAGGAGGAGGATTTCTCCAGGCGGGATGTCCCTGTGCTGCTCTCCTCAGCAGCCCTCTCTTGCAGCCTGCACAGAGCACAGCTCTTAATCTGCCTTCCCCGAGTCTTCCTGCAGGATTCCTTGAAGGTGCCCAGCTCCACGCAAGTGTTCCATTGCTAGCAGCGATGCCATATTAAAATAAAGACTAAAAAAAAAAGGAAAGAAAATCCACCTTGTAAGTGGCTGATCAATGCAGAAACCGAGTGATCCATTCAGCCGGGGCTCTGCTGGGCAGCAGGGGCAGTGCAGGCGCCTCCGAGGTGCTCGGGTTGGGAGGGACAAGAGGGAACCTCGTTAAATCTCCCCTTCCTCGGGGGAAGAAGGGGCTGTGAGAAAGGGCTTTTATTTTTAAGGGGCTATTTAAAGATTTGTGCAGCTCTGTGGAGAGCCTCGATCATCCCGTGCCCCTGCCTCGATGGGTGTGAAACGTCTCAGCCCGGGAAGCGCTGAGGGGGGAGATCAAGATCGTGGTGCTGAGCACGCCACAAAACCTCCTGCCCACCAGTGCTGCCCTCCTGCTTGGAGAGAGGAGCCCCGAGCCCCTCACAGCTGCTGCTTGGTGCCGTGCTCTGCTTTTTTCCTCCCCTCCCATTAACCCCTCGCTCAGCTGCAGCCCGGTGCTCGGGTGGAGGCAAATGGCTGCAGAGCTCGATGCTGTTTTTTTTTTTGTTTTTCTTTTTTTCCTTCGGTCTGAGGCTGGAAAATAGGAAAATGAAGGCAGGGCTGGAGCCTTTGGGTGCTGCCTGGCACGGGAGGAGGCATCGTGTCTGCGTGTTTGTGCCTGGCGAACGCAGCGAGTCCGAACCTCTCCCCGGTTTTATTCTGAACCCTTTTTTTTGCGCCTGAATGAGCTGGATGGAGCCATTAAGAAACGGGAGAGGTGGCAAGGACGAGCACGCGCGTTCTCAAAGCCTCGTCCCTCCTTTTATTTATTTTATTTTTAGCCCCGTTCAGCCGCTGATGGTGCGCTGGGAGGGGGCTGTGAGCAGACACAGCGCTGGGTCACCGGCTTCCGCGGGGGCAGGCAGTTGCCAAGACTCCATCCGATGGCGAATTTTTATTTTCATTAATCTGAACGTCAGCAACTGTCATTGGTGAAGGAGGTAAAATTAGCCTGCAATTCCCCCTCCCTCCTCGCTGTCCGTAATAGACTCGGGGGATTGTTCTTTTCAGGCAGGGTGGGAGGGGGAGGAGGGAACAGTCACCCAGAAGACAAATGAACTGTTTAGGGTGGTGTTTTTTTTTTTTTTTTTTCTTCCCTCCCCAGTCAGAAATGTTAATTGACTTGGCCCGAGTTCAGCTGAAGGAGGGGAAGGATAAGTGTTGAGCTTGGCTTCGAAGGGGGGGTTATTGGAGTCTCTGCAGATGTGAAATTGGGGTTGGGGGGGGGGGGGGGGAGAGGACAGACCCTGGGCTCGGTGGGGGCACGGCCGGGCTCTGCGGGTCGGGGGCTGGAGGAACTGGGGGGGGGTCCGGTGTGTCCTTACCCTCTGGGGGGGCTTTGACCCTTTCCTGGCGAGTCACCCCAGCCTTTAGGGGGTCGGGAGGTGGAAGCTGATCAGCGGGGGGGCAGCTCCCTACTGCACAGCCTGGCCCCGTGGGTATGGCTGGGGCTCCTCAGCCCCCCACAGCCCTTAGCAGCCCCCCCCCAAGCAGCTCAGGGCCACACCAGCCGGGCACCTCTGCTCCTGGAGCCCCGGGAGGAGCGGGAGCTGCATTTTGGGGGGCACGGGGCTGGGCACCCCTCCCTGAGGAGCGCGATGGGTGCCCGGCAGCACCTCTGGGAGCAGCTGGTGCCGGGCGAGGCAGAAGCGAGGAAGGTGGGTGCTGGGGGCCACTGACCCCAGAGCCCTCCACGGCCCCTCGTGGCTCTCATTTCTCCTTCCTCCTGAGGATGAGGATGATGATGAGGAGGAGGAGGAGGACTCCCTGCACATGGCCAGGGGCTGTAGCAGCCACGCAGGCAGGGAGCAGAGCAAGGGGAGCCCGTGCAGCCCCACTGCAGCAGCACCGAGGGGAGAGGGGGTCCGAGGGGGACCCCGCTGGGACCCCGCTGCCTCCCTCGGGCACCTCCCCCCCTGTGTCCCCCTCCTCCCCACGCGGTGGGGTGATCACTGGCGCAAGTGGCGAGATGACGTGCCGCTCGGCCTTGGCGGAGAAAGGATTGAGCATCCTTTAAAGAAAATTATCCATAATCGTCTTACAGCCTTCAGCTTCCACTCAGCCCTCTGAGTCATAACTGAAGGGCCCTGGAGCGTGACGTTCCTGCTGGAAGGAAATTGCCTCGGCTGGATCCGGTGGGGGGAGCTGGGAACCTGACGAATCCTTCCCTCAACCCCGATCCTTCCTCCCACAGCCCCCATCCTTCCCTCAGCCCCCATCCATCCAGCAGCTTATCCAGGGGATGCGCAGCGGTGCCATGGGTTGTTGGGGCCGATGTGCGTGGTGGTGTCCCCTCGTCCCCCTCATCCCCTCCTGCTCCAGCCAGGGATGTGCTGGGGGGGTCCTGTGTCGCTCCCTGCCCCCAGGGCTGTGACCTGAGCCCCATCTGGCCGTGGTGGCAGGGGGATCCCTCTGGGAACGGCCCCGCAGCTGCTACAGGGGGGGAGATGGGGCTGCTCCGAGCAGGGGGAGCGCGAGCTGTGCTCCTGCTGGACGTCTTCTCCAGGGGCTGGGGTGTGCCTGAGCTCCTGGGGGGCACCCGATGTCCTGCAGGTGGTACCTGAGCTCCTGGGGGGGTACCTGAGCTCCTGCATGCTGTTCAGGGTGGTTGTGCACCTCTGGGGGTGAAGCCGAGCGTTCGGTGCGGTGCAAAAGCCAGGTCCGTGCCCTCCAGCCCCACCAAGCCCCTGGGAGCCCTGCAGGGGGGTGCACGGGGCTGTGACTTGTCCCCTCGAGGGAGAAGGACACCGGGGGGAGAGGAGAGCAGAAAGGAGGCCTTGTGGTGGGGGGGGAAGGCGGCTGCCGGCCTGACGCCTGGCTCCCCTTGCAGGACAGGTGCCTGAGGAGGAGGCCGGGCAGAACGGGCAGAGCCGCAGCCGGGGGCTGCCCAAGGCCGTCTGCATGAACGGGACGGAGCCGGGGCAGCTGAGCACCAAATCCAAGACGGAGCGGCGAGCCAGCGCCTCCTCCAACCCCTCGCGCAAAGCCTGCTCGGCCAGCAGCAAGATCCGCAAGCTCTCCACCTGCAAGCAGCAGTGAGCCGGGAGCGCCCCGCACAGGTACGGCCACGGCGGGTGGGCACCCGTGGGTGCAGAGGGGTTTGTGGCCCCAACTGGGGAGAGGGGGAGGTCTGGGGGCGCCCCTCTCCTCGGCACCAGAGCCCCCCGTGTTATTCCCAGCATCGCCGCCCTCCTGCCCACGGGGAGCGAAGCCCCCAGGCTGCAGCGTGGGGCAGAGCCTCCTGGGGGGGCTTCTGGGGTCCCCCTGGTGCCGGGAGGTGCCCAGGTCACCCACCAGGGTGCACCGACCATGCCCAAGCCCCATCCTCGCCCTCCTCGGGTGCTCAGGGAAGCTGAGAGCCCTCCCTGCTCCCCCCCTCTCCTTTTTCCGGCTCGTTCCTCCGCTCTGCAGCCCTGTCCCCTTCTTCCCACCCCTCATTCATAAGTGAGCCAGCGATGACTCACGCTCAGCGCTCATCCACCCCCGGCCTCACGCTCGCGCTCGTCACCGGCGCTCCGTGGGGCTGAGGCTCTGTTATCTGTTTGGATCACGACCAGCTTTGTGGTGTGAAAAAAAGCCAGAAATAAAAGCCCGTTCCTCCCCCTGCAGCTGTCAGACCCGCGCTCAGCCCGGGTGGCAGCTTTAATCTTTAATTCATGGCTGGGAGTGAGTCACCTGCACGGGGAGTTACTGCGCTGCCAGCAAATGCCTCGGCTCCGGGTCTCCCCGGGGAGCTGCTGCTCCTCGCGCCCCTTCCCGCTCGGTGACCACAGCCTGGGGGGCTCAGCTCAGGGGGGGGTTTTGGGGGTCCCAAGAGCCCGCTCAGGTCATTTCCTCTGATTTCCTCCCGGGTGCATTGCCGCTGCCCTGCCCTCGGTGCCCGGCCGTGCCCCTTCCCCGCAGGGACGCTGCCCGTGGGCTCCGCTCTCTCCCCTCTGGATTTCCCTTCCCAGCTTCAGGGCCGGGTTTGGGGCTCCCCCACCAAAGGGCTGGGCGCTGGGCAAGTGCTCGCCCCCTCCCCAGCGCCAGGGGCTGGGGGGGTCCCCAAGGTGCCAGGGGCAGAGCCGGGTTCGGCCCCGCTGCCCTCCTGACCTTCCTCTCATTTCTCCTCCACGCAGCATCCCAGGGCCTGGGCCGCCCGCGCCCCTCGTCCTCACCCACCCCGGCATCTCTCCTGGGAGCGGACTGTGCTTGCGACCCAAAAACCGAGGAAACCAACCGAGGAAAACGCCCCCACCCTCCCCGCGGCCCCCCCGCTACGGACAGCGCCAGGAGCTGATGGGGCGAGACCCCCCCCGACCACCCCGGATGGAGAAACCTCCGGCTGCGAAGATGCTGCCCCCCCGCCCCAATCACTCTTTGCCAATCAAGACACTGATTCTGTTTTTAATTTCGCGATGGGAAGGGTGGGACGGGGCCGGGGGGCGGGGGGACCTGCGCCCCTCTCCCCGCCCTGGCTGTGTAGAAGTCGTGCAAAGCCATTGCCGTGCACTTTATGTTTTAGACTACTGTTATATATTATATATTTTCCTCTTTTTTTTTTTTTTTTGTTTATATTTGCGGTATATTTAGAGATTCCTACACATCGTGATGTGTTTAAAATAAACCAGATGAGGAAAAAAAAAAAAACAAAAAACAAAAAAACAGGTATTAAGACAAAGCAAAACTCTATTAAACCTGCATGCTGTAAAAGGGCTCGGAAAAGGGAATGGGTGCGTTCAGCGTATTTTTTTTTTCCTTTTTTTTTTCTTTTTTTTTTAAAGAAAAAAAGAAATAAAGTGAAAAGAGAGAGGTGGGTTTCATGCTGTCCTTCCTCCTGCCGCAGGCGGGTGCTGGGGAAACGAGCCCTGCCCGGAGCCGCGGTGGGTGAGCAGGGGAGGAAACGGCCCGGCGGGGACAGGAAGGCGAGAACCAAGCTCAAAGTCACAGCTTTTTTTTTTGTTGTTCTTTTTTTTTTTCTTTTTCTCTTTTGTTCATAGACTTAAAAACGCTGAGTTGGAGTCGGAGTTAGTGCTTTGGACACAGACTTGCAGAGGGAAGGAGGGACCCGGGCTCTTTACTCGCATGCAACGGGGACGCGGGGCAGGACCGCGGTGCTGGGGGGGGGCCCTCGGCTGTGCCCCCTCCCGCCCCGCTGCCGAGCCCCCCCCCAGTAACACAGCTTGGGCTTTTTTTTCTCTTTTTTTTTTTTTTTTTCACCCATCCATTGAAACATAAATAAATTAAAAACAAAACAAACACAATAAAAAGCAAAACCCCAGGAGCAGCAGCATCCCCCTCTGTAAAAACCAATAAATAACCTCTGAGTGCGCTGAGCCCCCGGGGGGGGTGGGGAGGCACCCATGGCATGCACCAGCCCGGCCCCCCCCCCCCCCCACGTCACCAAGGGCTGGGAAGGGACAGCACCGGGGACAGGCAAAGGGTGGCCCCGGGGGGCTCCATCCTCCCCAGCCCCCAGGATGCTGCTGCTCTGGGGGCCACAGCTTGCCTGGGCCCCCCCAGGGGATGCACAGGCCCCCCCCCCAGCATCCTCCTGCCCCAGCACAGCAGCCCCAGGCCCCGCTTCCAGTTCAGGCTCCCCGCGGTGCTGGGGCTGCTCGCGGGCACCGTCCCTGCTCCCCCCACGATGAGTCCCCAGCTGGACGGAGCGGCCTTATTGCTTGTAAAACAAAAAAAAAAAAAGCCAAAACAAAACCCAAAAACCAGCGAGAGGGGAGCGCGAAGCTGCTACACAGCTCTGCTGCGAGGTAAGGATTAGGCCTCAGCTCGGTTCGGGGGTTTATTCGCCAAGTCCCTCGGCGCCAGCCTCCTGGCACGCGCTCTGCTCCACCTCTGCGCCCTGCCGGCACCCGGCGGCTCCTCGCTCCCGCGAGCACCGGGGCTCGGCCACCCCGCGCTGCCGGCCCCCCGCGGCGGGGTGGGCACGGCCAGGGGCCCCCACGCGCCCTCCTGGCCTTCCCCGCGCCGGGGCCGCCCGTCCCGTGGCGCCCCGCGTGCCGCGCACCGGCTGCTCCCCCCGCGCCCCTTGCCGGGGTCTCTGCCCCCTCGGTGCCGGGCTTAGACGGGGCCGGGGTCGGGGGGGGCGTCGCTGGCCTGCCACGGCCACCGCGCGCTCCGTGCTCTCGGCCGCCTTCCTCAGGTGTCCGTAGAGCCGCTCCTCGAGGCCGCCGGTGATTTTGTCCATCAGCTCCGAGCCGGGGCCCAGCCCCAGGCACTGCCCGGGGCCGGGGCAGTCGTCCCCGCCGGGCTCGGGGCTGGCCTTTGGGTCGGGGGCCGCCTCGCCAGGCTCCTCCACGATCACCTGGATCTCGGGGTCGGGCAGCGGCGAGGCGCTGGGGCCCCCCTCGGCCGCCTCCGCTGCCTCCTCGTCGCCGGCGCTGACGATGCGGGGCAGGGGGCTGTGGAAGCGGGCGTCCAGGGGGTAGTTGGCGCTGTCCCCGCGGCGCAGGGGCGTGCGGTGCCGCTCCAGCGCGGGGTAGCGCACGCCGGGGTCGCTGTACTGCTTGGCGTGCTGCCACTGCTTGCGCAGGTGGGCGCGCGAGCGGTGCTTCCCCCGCAGCGGCGACTCGTCGAACTGGGGGTCGTGGCGCACGAAGGCGTTGAAGAGCGCGTCCGTCTTCTCGTCGATGCTGTAGTCCCGCCGGGGCGGCGCCGCCTCGCGCCCCGCCAACATCTGCCCGTACGGGGACCAGGCCAGGGGGCTGTGGGGACGGAGGGGACCCCCGCCCACCGCGCCCCGGGCTGCGCTCCCCTCCTCCTCTTCCTCCTCCTCCTCCTCTTCTTCTTCCTCCTCGTCCTCCTCCTCCGGCTCCCGGCCCTCGAAGCTCTCGAAGATGGTGCCTTTCCGCCCCGCACTGGTGAAGCAAATGCGCTTCTCCGAGGCCGTCTGGTCCTTGGGGTGCCCCTCCTCGCCCCCCCGGCTGGGCGCCTCGATGGAGGCGTAGCCGCTGTCCATCTGCAGCAGCTTGCGCGTGCCGGGCTCCGACTCCTCCTGCTTGGGCCGACCCCAGAGCTTCTCCTCGGGGCCTTCGGCCTCGTCCAGGGAGGAGGAGGGGCAGGGGGCCACGCCGCCGGCAGAGGAGACGCTGTCCCCGCCGTCACTGCGCACCGAGTCCTGGTCGTTGCTCCGCTCGGAGGAGGCGTAGAGCTCCAGCGAGGCGCGCAGGCTCCAGATGTCGTGGTAGGCGCTGGGCTGCTCCGGGGCGCCGGCCTCGCTCGCGCCCCCCTCGCCCGGCTCTAGCCTGCGGGCACCACCGGGTGTCACGGCAGGGATGGGGATGGGGACGGGGACGGGGACAGCCCCGCACGCAGAGGAGGCACCAGCCCAGCACCCACAAGCTCGGTGGCGGCACCTCGGTGCCCCATGGTCCCCAGGCCCCCTGCCCACACCCCAAGCCCCCCATCCCAGCTCCTGCCCCCATCACCCCAGGCCCCGCCGCTCCCCCAAAGGCAGGGCCCCCCCATGCACCCTCCCCGTCCCCTCTATCTACTGAAAAATACCTGCCGAGAGAGGGTGGGGGGCTGGTGGGGGAGGGCAGGAAGGGGCCGCCCGCGGGGTGGAAGGCGACGTCGTCGGTGCGGGCGATGTACTGGATGATGTCGGTGGCGTGGGGGTCCCGGTCCTCCTGGTCCATGCTCTCGCTCGCCGCCCGCTGCCGCTGGAACTGGCGCCGCTTGGGGGACCCTGGGGGGGGGGCACAGGGCAGGGGTCGGGGCACGGTCGCATCCCTACGGGGGGCTCCCCCACCGCCCCCCAGCTCCCACCTCTGGTGTCCAGGCTGGACGCCCGCTGGGTGCTCTCCAGCTTCCACTTCTTGATCTTGAAGTAGGGGCTGGCCCCGTCCAGGCTGGCGTGGCGGCGCAGGCGGGTGAAGAACTGCAGGACGGTGCCCTGGGAGGGGGCCGGGGGGGCGTCCCCGGGGCTGGCACTGCCCACACCGGCCCCCTTCCCGCTCCTGGGCACTGCGGCAAACTGGGGGCATTGGGGGGGGGGGGCTGTGAGTGCCGGCTCCAGGAGCAGCCAGGCACAGCCCCCCGCCCCCCGCCCCCCCCAGCCCCCCCAGCCCCGCTCCTTTGTCCTCCTCCTGCAGCTCGGCTGCGTGATGCACAAATGGCCCCTGGGGCAGGGGATGGGGCAGGGGGGGGGCAGAGCCTATTTCTAGCTGGATGCCCCCCCCCCCATCAGGCCTGAAAGCACGGAGCAGGGGGGCCCAGCACCCCCTCCGGGCACGGGGCCATCCCCACGCTGTCGGACAGGGGGGGAGCAGGATGGTGCTGAGCCCGCTGAGCCCCCTCCCCTGCCCACCCCAGCCCCTGGCCCCCAGCCCGCACTCACCGAGGGGCCCTCCCCGGAGTCAGAGGAGGCGGAGGGGCTGGCCTCGGTGAAGCTGGTGTCCACGGTGGAGTTGTAGGTGTCCCCGGGCAGCGCCGAGCTGGGGCACACGGCGTGGCTGGGCAGCGCCGGCTGCGGCAGGGCCCCCCCGGGGGGCTGCGGGGCACAGCTCGCTCAGGGGGGGGGGCTTTGCACCAGGGTCAGGGTCCTGCCGCACCCCGCAGCCCCTCACCCCTGCATCCCTTCCACTACCCCCCAGGTGCATCCCAGCTCCATGCCCACTCCCCGGGGGGGGCTCACCTGGAAGATGGCGAGGCCGGGCTTGGGGGGGGGCAGGCGGGGGGTCATGGCCAGGCTGTTCTCGCTGGACTCGCACTCGTGGATGGTGACGATCTTGAGGGCGGGCGGCGGGAGGTGCAGGTGGGTCAGGCGGGCGTTCTTCAGGTGGTGGAAATCCCCCTCCGTCAGCGTGTACCTGCGGGCACGCCGGGTCAGGGGGCGCCCCCAGCCCCCTGCCCACCCCCCCCCCGGCCCGGCCCTTCACCTCCTCCCCTTCTCCTGGGTCTTCTTGCCCTGGTCGAACAGCGCGGCCTCGTTGAAGGAGACGCGGCGCGCGGTGGAGGAGCTGGAGGACAAGAAGCGCTCGGTCTCCACATCCCGGTAGCTGGAGGCCGAGAGGCAGTCGGGGTCCTCCACTTTGATGGTGATGTCTACGGAGAGGAGCAGGGGGGGGGGTCAGAGCCACCAACCAGCCCCCCCCCCCCTTATGGAGCACTGCTGGCTTCCCAGCTGAGGCCGGGCAAACTCACTGCATGGCTGCGTCCTGACCGGGGGGCGCAGGGGGTGCAGGGGGTGCGCTGCCAGCCCTGCCCCTGCCTGCTGTGCCCCCCCCCCGGGGTGCACCCCCAGCCCCAGCCCTGCGCTCACCCTGGGCTGGCTGCGAGTCGTCCAGGTAGGTGGTGTTGGTCTTCTCGGGGTCATCGCTGGCCCTGCAGGGGGGGGGGGACAGGATGCTGCGAGGTGCCCCACGCCACGGGAAGCCGCGGCGGCACCGTGAGGGGTGCGGGGGCTTCATGCGGGACCCCCAGCGGTGCCACAATCACCCATGGGGGGGGCAGCAGCCGTCCCCCCCACCGACCTGGAGTGGCGGCGCTCGGCCTCGCAGCAGCGGCGGCAGATGATCAGGATGCCGGAGAGCAGCACCAGGGTGCCCCCGATGAAGATGGAGAGCAGGGCGAGGAGCAGCACGTAGCCATCCTGCGGGGACACCTCGCCCGGCACCGCCTGGGGGGGGGGACACACACACACACATGGGGGGGGGTTGGGGGTTCAGGGTGTGGGGGGGGGCCCTGCCGAGGCTGGTGCTGAGCGCTGCTCCCCCGAGATGCTCGCGGCTCCCCCGCCGCCCCCGGGCCTGCTGCCGGGAGCTGCCTTCACCAAGGCAACCGCAGCCGGGGGGGGGCCGAGCCGCCAGCGGCCCCCGCGCCCAGCGGGAATGGGGACAGGACCCCCCCGACCCTGCTTTTTTGGACACCCCCCCCCCAGGCGCTGCGAGCCCAGAGCTCGGTGCCTGCGGGGGCTGAATGGGGTGCAGGGGGGCTGCCGCCGAGCTCCGGGGGGGTGAGGGCAGGACAGGAGGGGGGGGGAATGGATGCTGCCCCCCAATTCCCCCCCCCCACAGCCCTATCCCCATCCCCGTGGCCACATCCTGACCCTCCCTGTCCCCACGCCCCGTGCTCGTGTCCCCCCAGTCCCTACAGCCTCATCCTGGGCTCAGCTCCCACCCCTATCCCCGGCCCCCCAGCCCCATGCAGACCCCAGGACCCCCCCCAGGTCCCCCCCCCCAGCCCGTGCCGCTCACCGTGGCGCTCTCGGTCGCGTTGTCCCAGGGGGTCGGCTCATCGCTCATGGTCCGAGCCAGCCCGAGCGCGTCCTGGGCCGCTGCGAGACAAACGGGGGGGGGGGGTCCACGATGGGATGGGATGGGATGGGGGGGGGCACCGGGCTGGGGGGGGACACCCGGGCCCTGCCCCGCACCGCGGTGCGGAGCTGCCGGGAGGGATGGGGATGAAGGGCTGGAGGAGGGTGTGGTCAGCACGGATGGAGGATGGAGGCCGGGCCCCGGGGGGGGGACACCGGGGGGGGGGGGACACCGGGAGGGGACGGATCCTGCCCGGGCTCTGCCGCCCCCTCCTCCCGCCCCCCCCCACAGCTCCCCGCAGCCGCTGCCCCCCACGCAACGAAAACGGGGGTGGGCGGGGGGGGGGCGGTGCTGGGGGTGGGGGGGGGGCTGAGTCAGCCCCGCAGCGGCTCCGCCACCACCGGGGGGGGGCACCGGGACCGCCGAGGGAGGGGAAGGGGCCGGGAAGGGCCGAGCCCCCCCCCACCCCAAGCAGCCGGCACGGAAAGCGGCGGCCTTCGGGAACCGGGGCTGGGGCCCCCCCCGGAGCCACCCCCCCAGGGTGCCGGGGATGCTGTGGCCGTGGGGAGCCGCGTGCTCCGGGGGGGGTGGGGGGGGGGGGGGCGCGGCAAAACCGCCCAAAATCGGGGCAAGGAAAAATGTGAATGGAGCCGGGGGGGGGGGGGGCAGCACGGGGAGGGGTTACCGGGGGGCACCGGGGGGGCGGGGAGAGCCCCGAGCCCGCACCGGCCCCGGGCATCCCCCAACCCCCCCCCACCCCGAGACCCCCGGGGGCTCCCCCACGCCCCCGGCTGGGCCCGTGGGGTCCGAGGGGCCGCGGTCCCGCGTGGGGCGGCCCCCCCCGGGTGGGACCGGGCTGGGCGCCCCCTGCCCCGTTGGGGGGGGGGGTATAGGGGGGGGGCTGAAGAATGCCCCCGCTGTTCCCCCCCATCATGGAGGAATTCGGTCTCCATGGCGACCCGGCGGGAACAGCACGGCCATTGTCTGGGCAGCGGCGGGGGGGGGGGGCAGCGGCCGGGTCCCCCCCCCCCGGGCTGTCCCCACGCCCGGGGGCACCGGGCAGGGCTCAGCTCCCCCCCCCCATCGCTGGGCACCGGGCGGGGGCGGGACGGATCCTGCCCCACTGCCCCCCCCCCAACCCCCCCCTGAGGTTGCGGCACCCCCGGGACCCCCCCCCGGGGGCTGCACCCGGCTTGGGGAGGGGGCTGCGGGCAGCACCGTGGGGGGGGGGGGCTGCGGGCGGCGCCGGGGGGAGCGGGGACGGAGCCCCCGGGAACCCCGAGAGCAAGGGGGGGGGATTGGGGCGGGCCGGGCTCCCCCCGTATCGCGCCGGTTCCGTCTGTCGCGATAGCGGCGGGGCCGGGCACTCACCTAGAGCCGGGGCCGGGGCTCCATCGCCGCCGCCGCGCTCGGTGCGGCCCCGGATTTATGAATGAAGCGGGGCCGCCCCCGCGCGGCGCGGCCGTCACGTGGGGACGGGGCTGCCCCGGCCCTGCCCGCACCCGCACTGCCCGCCCCGCAGCCCCCTGCCCTATAGCCCCCAGCCCCACAGCCCCCAGCCTCTGCCCTGTAGCCCCCTACTCTATAGACCCTTACCCTACAGTCCCCTGCCCTATAGCCCTCTACCCTACAGCCCCCTACCCCACAGCCCCATAGCCCCCTGCCCATATATCCCCGTGACCTATAGCCCCCAGCCCCCAGCCCCAGCCCCACAGCCCCCAGCCCCTGCCCCATAGCCCCCTACCCTATAGTCCTGTGCCCTATAGTCCCTTACCCTATAGCCCCCTACCCTACAGTCCCTTACAGCATAGTCCCCTGCCCTATAGCCCTCTATCCCACAGCCCTCTACCCCACAGCCCCCTACCCCATAGCTCTATAGCCCCCTGCCCCATACCCTGTCTGCCCCATAGCCCCCTACCCTATATTCCCTTACCCTATAGCCCCGTGCCCTATAGTCTCTACTCCATAGCCCCTACTCCCATAGCCCCAGCCCCACAGCCCCCTTCCCATATATCCCCCTGACCTATAGCCCCCTTACCCTATAGCCCCCTGCCCCATACCCTGTCTGCCCCATAGCACTCTACCCTATAGTCCCTTACCCTATAGTCCTCTACCCCACAGCCCCCTACCCCATGGCTCTATAGCCCCATAGCCCCTTACCCTATCCTTACCCTATAGCCCCCTACCCACCCCATACCCACCCCATAGCCCCTGCCCACCCCATAGCCCCCAGCCCCCTACCCACCCCCAAGCACCACCGCCCCTCCCTCCCCCCCACCACACCCCAGCCCCCTACCTGCACCCCCCCCTCCCCCCATAACCCGACTCCGACCCTACAACAACCACCACAAACAAAACAAACACCATGGAGGGGGGGCACAGACCACACTCCACAGAACTACATCTCCCATACACCCCCGCGGCCCTCCCCGTGACGTCACCCTCCCGGCGCCCCACGGGCCTTGTAGTCCTGAGGCGCTGGGGTCGGACTACAACTCCCGGCGTGCCCCGCGCCACCCCCCCCACCCCCCCACCTCATCTCGCCCTTGGCCGGCCCGGCCCGTGCCCGCCGCCGCCGCCATGTTGAGCGCCCGCCGCCTCCTGCGCCTCGCCGCGCTGCCGCCGCCCTGGGCCCGCTCCTACGCCGAGCCCGCGGCCGGCCCGGCCGCCATGGCCTTCACCTTCGCCTCCCCCACGCAGGTAGGAGGCGGAGGGCGGCTCCCGGTGCCCCCCCGGTGCCCCCCCGGTGCCGTCCCGGTGCTCTCTGTGTCTCTCTCCCCCCCCTCAGGTGTTCTATAACGGCGCGGCCGTGAGGCAGGTGGACGTGCCCACCCTCACCGGCTCCTTCGGCATCCTGGCGGCTCACGTCCCCACGCTGCAGGTCCTCAAGCCCGGCGTGGTGACGGTGTACGGCGAGGACGGGACGGCCACCAAGTACTTCGGTGAGGGGTGGGGGGGGACAGGGGGTGGGGGGGCCGTGACCGGGCCCTGAGGGGACGGGGGGGACCGGGGGGGGGGGTGGGGATGGGGTTGGGGGGGCTGTCAGGGGCTCTGTGGGGCCTGGAGGGACAGGGATGGGGTTGGGGGGCTGATAGGGGCTCTGTGGGGCCGGGGATGAGGTTGGGGGGGCTGTCAGGGGCTCTGTGGGGCCTGGAGGGACAGGGATGGGGTTGAGGGGGGCTGTCAGGGGGCTCTGAGGGGCCAGGGGGGGATGGGGAGCAATGGGGATGGGGTTGGGGGGGCTGTCACAGGGCTCTGTGGGGCCAGGAGGGCCTCATTTGGCTCTAGGGGTCTCCCCCTTCCCAGCCAGGAGGGTGTCCTGCTGGCTGGGGGCGTGCTGCAGGACAGGGGGCTCAACACGAGGCAGTTTGGGGCTCAGGTTTTCTTCTGCTCAGAGGTCACTCGGTCAAAGAATCATAAAAAAGGTCAGAAAAGACCTTCGGGGTCACTGGTCCAAGCATCGCCCTGCTGCCAGCATCCCACGCTCACCCCCGTCCCCCAGCACCCACCCTGCCCTCGCAGAACTTTCCCTGCTTCCCCCCTCCCTTAATTAACACGAGGCTAACGCCGCCGTGGGGCTGGGGGAAGGTCACAGGCTGGGCTTTGAGGTTTTATTCTGGCAAAGGGAGCTTGGGGCTCCCCGGGGTCTCCTTGCCAGAGCTGCCCCGCGTGCTGACCCCCCTGGCAGCCCCCCCTTGACACCGCTGTGCTTGGCAGTGAGCAGCGGCTCCGTCACGGTGAACGCGGACTCCACGGTGCAGGTGCTGGCGGAGGAGGCGGTGACGATGGACATGCTGGACCTGGCCGTGAGTAGCGCGTCCCCGCAGCCGGGAGGTTTTGCTCCCCGCTTCTCCCCTTGTCTCCGGAGCTTCCTGTGCCTGCAGAGCACGCACAGAGCCCCGGGGCTGCGCCTTCACCCCCAGCTTCCCCCCCTGATGGGGATCAAAGGCTGCTCCTCCCCGGCAGGCTGCGGGGAGAGGAAGCCGAGCAGTCGTGAACCCCTCCCCAGGCCGCATCCCTGCCCTGGGACAGATGCTGATCGGGCCCCTCCCCACCCCTCTTCATCTCGGGAACAGCTTTTCCCCAGCAGGGCCTGGTGATGAGGTGCCTGCTGCCAGCCCGGCACCTAAACAGGCTTCTGCAGCCCCTGTGGGGCTGACAACTGCAGCGTGGTGGTGGGGTGGGGGGTGACTCGAGGGCTATGGGCCAGCCACCCACTTCATGGGGGTCTCTCAGTGACCTGTTCCTTGTGTTCTGGTGCTCAGACTGCTAAATCAAACCTGGAGAAGGCCATTTCTGAGGTGGCTGCTGCGTCCGACGAAGCTGCTAAGGCAGAAGCTCAGATTAAAGTCGAAGCCAACGAAGCCCTTGTGAAAGCCCTGGAGTAGTCTGGTAAGTGTCACCTACATCCCCGCTGAGACTTCCAGACCTGCTCTGCAGAAGAGTCCTCGCTCCCTGCTGCCCACGGGGAGTTTCCCCTCGCCATAGCCAGGCCGGCCGGGCTGTGAGGGGAGCCTGAGGGCTTGTGCCTGGCGTTTTGGGAGCGGTGACAGGGGGGCTGCCCCTCTCGGCCCCTCCGTCAGCGCCGGGGGCCACGGCGGGGCCGTGCTCGGAGCCGTCCCGGGGCCGCTAGATGGCAGCAGGGCCCGGCGCTGCCTCCGGGAGCTGGCGGCAGCTCTGCGGTCACGAGCGGGGCCTCGCCGCTGCCTCCGGGTCCCCGCGGGGCCGGGCAGCCCGGGGCCGGCCGTGCGAGCAGCCTGGGGCCCCGCGGGGAGCGGTGCGGCCTCTGCTCCTCGTACACTCCCTTCCACTGCAAACAAACAGCTTCTGTCTCGGGGGAGGCGAGGCGAGGCCGCTTACCTCCTGGCCCATTTTTCTCTGCGCCCTGCTAAGTCTCTGCCTCATCTCTTTTTCTTCCCACGTGCTGGCAGTCGGAAGGCTTTCTGCACGGCAGCGCTGTGCCTGGCAGGTGAGTCACGGAGCCTCAGACGGCCTCTCCGGAGCAGGTACAGCAGGGCAGCAGCTCCCCCGTGTCCCCCTGGTCTCTGCTCCCTCTGCTCTGTGGCCCTTGAGGTCAGGTCTGAGATCGCTCGCAGCCGTTCAGCAGCAGGAGCGAGGCCTTGGGTGGGGATCCTGCTCCACCGAGCCCCCCCCTCATGTTCAAAGCAGCTCCGCCTCTGTGTGTTGCAGGAATCCCACTGTCGCTGCAGAGAAACCCCAGCCTGTCCTACTTGTTCTGGCTTCCCCGTTTGTACAGATGGTGCGGGACAAATGGAGGCGGAGGAGCCGCTCTGATCAATTAAAAGGAAACGCAGTCCTGTCTTGTGGCGCGTCACCTTCTTCCGAGGCGTCAAACTGCAGCTCGAGCTGCGCCGGCGGCTGGGTGCGTGGGGCAGGGTCAGCTGGGGGTGTGCGGGCGCCGTGCCGAGCTGCAGCTCCAGCTTTTGTGCTGCGCCTTCCCGTGGGAGATCTCACCCCGGGCTTATCAGGCAGGTTTTAGAGCTCCCTCCCCGCGCTCTCAGCCACCTCCAGTGCCAGTAATCCACCTGGACGGCGGGATTAGGGCAGCACGGGAGGAGGCGTCCGCAGGGCAGCGCAGAGGCTTCCTGCCGTGCCTCCCCCGCCCTGTTCCTGCTCAGCCTCTCGGCTCCGTCGCCGCAGGAATCGCCGCAGGAATCGGCTCTGCTGGTTCCTCGCGGTCCTTCCTGCAGCTGGACGGCAGCTGCCCGGCTCTGCCCCCTTCCCCCCGCTGCTGCTCTGGGCTGTTTGCACGCGCGGGTGGCGTGCGGAGCAGGGGGAAGTCTCTGGGGGGGGCTGGGTGCGGGAGGGAAGCAGATGCTGTGCTGGGTGGGAGCCTGTCCGCAGCCTGGGCGGCTCGGGGGGGGGGCTGGCAGCGCTCTGCTGGAGCTGCCGGCTGCTTTGGGGGCTGCTTTGGGGCTCCCCAGAGCAGCGCTGGCGTCCCTAATGCCGGGAGGACCCCCCGAGCTGCTCCCCTGTCCGCAGCGAGCTCGTTTTCCTCCCCCCATGCATCACAAAACGTGGCGCTGCAGGGAAGGAGCAGATGAGGGGCCCGAGGATGCCCCCGGCACCATCCACCGCGAGGCTCCGCGCTCGCTGCCGTCCTCCCGAGGGGGATTTCGGGTTTCTGCTGCTGCTCAAACCCTCCTGGCACAGGCGTGCGGTGTGACCGTCCCCCCCCCTTGCTCCGTTCCCCTTTCCCCTCGCCCCCCGCCTGCCCTCCTGCAGCCCGGGGGGGGCTCAGCTATTTTCGGCGCTGCCACCCAGGATGTAATCTCGGCTGCCTCCTCCTCTCCCCGCCACCTCCTCCCCCTCCTCTCGCTCTCTCTTGTCTTTCTCTCCCCCCCCCCCCCCCCCCTCCACAAGCGATCAAAAATAGGCCTGTGGTGTTAAATTTCTCACTCTGGAGCTTATTAAAAGCCTCTGAGTGCCTGACGCTGAGCCTATTTGAAGCTCAGCCGGCTCCCCAGCTCCTGAGCTGCTCCAGTGCCTTTTTCTTCCCTTTCCCTCTCTTTGCCCTTTTTTTTTTTTTTTTTTTTTTTAAAGGTCAGGCGTTGCGCCGTGCAGAAGCGAAGCCTCAAAGTCAGGACGAGTGCTAATTAAAACGTCTCGGGAATAACTGGGGCCGGGCGGCCCTGCTCCCCCTGCTCCCTCTTCCGCTCCCTCTCGCTCTCCTCTGTCCCCGGTTTCTATTTGCGGCGTGCGTGAGCCTCCCCCGACACACGCAGCCGCTCTCTTTCCGACGGAAGGTGGCTGATTTCTGATTTTTTTTTTATTTTTTTATTTTTTTCTCATCTAATGGAAGAGCGTTGGCGAGGCCGGGAAGCTGGGGAAGCGGCCAGCTGCTATTTTTAGGATGGGAAAAAAAAAAGTGTCTCCGTCAGCGGCCGCTCACCAGCTCTTCCCACTGCCTCCTGCCAGCTCCAGCGGAGACTTTTGGGGGGTACCTGGCGGGGGGGTCAAGCACGGATCCGGCCCTGCCGGGGCCCTCCCCAGCGTGGCGCCTGCTGGGATTTGTAGTCTGATTTTGGGGGGAGCGGTGGGGGCTCCTCCGTCCTGCCCCATGGCTGAGAGCCCCTGGGGGTGGCCGTGTCCCCCCAGCACCTCGGGGGCTGCTCCTTGCTGCGGGCAGGGGGCTTCCCCCCAGCCTCTTCCAGCCTCTCCTCCTGCCCCAGCTGCCCACACCACGAGCTGCCGCCAGTCACGACCCAAAATCAGCCCCATCCCTGCTGCATTTTGGGGTCCGAGAGGTGTCAGCGACCCCGCAGCAGGTACCGAGGCACTTCCCCATCCCTGCACCTCACTGTCAGGAGCTGTGGGGCTGCGGGGCCATGGGCTGGGAAATTTGGGGTCAGCAGCAGCAGCGTCACGGGGCCCAGGCTCCGTCTGCCCCGGGTGGGCAGCAGGGCTGGAAAACGGCGCGAGCGGGGCCGTGGCACCCACGTCCTCCCTTTCCACCCGGTGCTTTTGCCCATGACTTGCATCTCCTGCTGCCAGCTGGAGGGTGGGGAGCGGGGCCGGGGCGGCTCGGAAAGTGAAGCCTCGGTGTTGCTGCTTCGGCTCTGCTCGTGGGGGACGAATTTCCGAGAGGGGCTGGGCGCCGCCGGCCGCATCTCCCGGCGCTGCCGTCCCCTCCCAGCGCTTGGCCACACGGTGTTTCCACGGTCCCACCCGGATCCCAAAATGCAGGGGAAAGGTTTGAGCTCTCCACAGGAAAAACAAAAAAAAACAACAAAAAAAAATCCCAACCCAAAGCCCGCCGCAGCCCCAGGATTCCCCTGGCTCCCGGCGGCACTGACTCATCTGGCAGAGCCGCCCCTTTCCCTGCCCAAACCCGCGGTGCTTCGGCTCCTGCCCGGCCTCTCGCAGCCTCGTGCCCCGCGTTGCAACATCGGGGTGCGGGGGCTGCCCGGCGCCCCTGCTCCTGCTGGGAGAAACGGGTGCTGAGCACGGAGCTGGGCCCCCCTGGGAGCCAGCAGCACCCCCCTGACCCTGCTGGGGCTTCGTGCCCCCTCCCCAAGGCCGTGGCCATGGGCACCCCGGCGTGGGAAGGTCAGCAGAGGCTCTGCCAGCGCGAGCCCGGCTGCGTCCTTGGGCCACGTCGCCCTTGGGTGGCTCGAAGGCCGAATCCTCGCACTTCCTTCTGCGGGGGGAGCGCTGCTGTAATGATTAACCCGCGCTGCCGCAGCCGTTCCGTCCTGCAGCCTTTTTTCCTCTGGGTTTCCAGCTCTGGAAAATGCTCCTCTTCCGCACGCCTCCCACGCACTCTGCCCTGGCCCGGCGGTGGGAGCACCAGGGGGGGGAAAAATCCCTGCAGCGAGGGGCTGAGAGCAGCCCCCCAACCCCATCCCGGGGCGCCGTGCCGGCAGATGGCAGTGGGGTGCCCTCGCCCGTCTCCCCGCCGGCTTCACCCCGAAATGTGGGCGCGGGTGCAAGCGCCGGCGGGCGCTGCAGCCGGCAGGACGCTGCTTGTCCCGGTGCAGCTCGCGGGCCAGCAGCCTCCCAGCGCCGCGCTGCCGAGCGCAGCAAACCCTTGGCCCGGGGCGGGAGCTCCCCGGGGGAAACCGAGGCAGCGGTGGGGAAAGCCGGGATGGGAGCGGGCGTCTCGCTCTTCCCGAGAGCACCCCGGGGTGCTGTGGGTGCCCCCGCCAGGCACGGGGAGCTTCGCCCCGGGGAGTTACGGAGCCGGGAGCGGGGCAGCGGGGGCGGCGCGTCCCCCCCGGGCTCCCAGGTGCTTTGGCAGAGCTCGGGGACCCCGGGGGCTGCGGGCACAGCCCTCGCTTGGGGCAGTTTTGGCGGCCGCTGGTGCTTGGCTTCACCGGAGCCAGCCCAATGCTGCGGGGTGCATGGGGGCCACCAGCTTGGCTGGGGCACACGGCCCCATGGTGGGGGTCCTGGCAAAGTCCCCCCCCGGCTTCGCCACCCCCTGCCCGGGGCTGCGACCCACGCGGGGCAGGGGGAGGCCGGGAGGAAGCGGCTGCCAGCTGGGCTCGACGCCGGCTACAAAGGCGGCCCAGAAAGCCCGAGCGGAATGAGGTGGCGCCCGGCCAGGTTCCCACGGCGGCCCCGGTTAAGAAAATACACCCGGAGCTGGTGGCGGTTGCCGCAGTGACGGGCCTGGGTGCTGTGCCATGGGGGGGGGCACAGCCGGACCCAGGTGTGCACAACTGGGACCCCGATGTGGGCTGCAAAGGGCTGGGCAGTGGAGCTGGGCACTGGTGGGGACCAAAGGCTCCTGCCCTGCCTCCTGCTGCCCCCGCCAGCTTTGATGTGCCGGGACTTCGCCCTTGGTAAAGCTGGGAGGCTCCTGAGCAGCTCCAGGCTGCAGCCTAACGAGGTCCCAGCACCGCCGAGGTCCTGGCACCCAGCACCTGCCGAGCGGGGCGAGCACGGAGCCGGTGTCCCCGCAGCCTCCCCACCACCCGCTCCACCACGGGGCCACCCTCGCCTCCAGTCCCCGAGCCCCCCGCTCCTCTCCAGGCCACGTGGGAGGAAGCGGCCGCAGCTGCCTGTGCCGGTGGGGCTCTTCCTGGCGGGGCTGGCGCCGGCTGGGGCCCGGGGTGGGGAAGGGAAACCGGGGGGAGCCGGGGAGGCTGCCCTCAGGAATGCCCCCGCGCCGCGCTTTCATCCCCACTGCCTCAAAGGCCGCCTGTGTGCAGGAGCGGCCGCCCCCCGGCCGGGTATAAATAGCCGGGATTGAGGCCTGGCGTGACACTGGAGTCCCTTCTGCCACCGCCACCTTGGGCACCCCCCCCCCCCGCGGGACCTCAATGGGGGCATTGTGCGCCCGCGGCCCCGCGGGCACGTCCCCGGCAGCTGCTCGCCGTGACCCCGGCTGCTTCCCCCCTCGTGCCAAGGCCACGGCGGGGCCGCGAGACCACGGGGTGCCCCGGCGGGGAGGGGACGCGGGTCCCCAGCACCCTCCTGCCCGGGCAGGTGAGGCTGTGTGCCCGCTCCCTGCCCCGCTGGGGCGAGGGCTCCCCATCCTCCCATCCCCATCCTCCCATCCCCATCCTCCCATCCCCATCCTCCCATCCCCATCCTCCCATCCCCATCCTCCCGTCCCCATCCTCCCGTCCCCATCCCCGTCCCCACCAGGCCGGCTCTGCCCTGGCCCCGCCGCCCCCTCCCTTCCCGGGCAGCGCCGGCAGCTGCTGTGGGGCGTAATGACAGGGTGTGCCTGCCCCGGGGAGGAGAGCGCGGGGAGGGCGGCTGCTGCCACCCAGCAAGACGGGGCCAGCCGGGCGCGGAGCTTCGCTGCCTGCCGCCGGCGCGGCCACACCTGTGTGGGCTGAGCGGACCCCG